AATTTTTATGCTTACATTTTGTTTTGTTAATCTTATGGTTATGTTGTTTTTTATTTTGTATGTTTTGTGATGTTACCTGGGAACTGCTCTGAGTCCCCTTGGGGAGATGGAGCGGAATATAAATAAAGTATTATTATTATTATTATTATTATTATTATTATTATTATTATTATTAAGAGGCTGCCACGTGCTGCTCATATGGGGGTTTCCCTGTGAGCCCTACCTGTTGCACCAACTGGAGTAGAAGAAAGCCATGACATATCTTACACAAGCTATGTCTGCTTCCTTAATCTCATTTCTGAAACCCAGGCTCCCTTGAAGGGAAGAAAGGAAAGGGTCCAAGGAATGGAAAAGGGGAGCCTAGTAAGTTCTGTTGGGCGCATAGGCAATCCAAAGTTTATTGCACCTGATTTAAATATGCAGGTAAGCTAATGTGTTGACCACCATCTGATATGTGTCCTAAACCATGTAGGCTATCTGAGCACATGTTTTGCTACCTTTTTTTTTTTTGAGAGGAAACCTTTTTGGAGGAGAGAGGCTTGCATACCATCTTAAGGCCTGATTCATTGCTCAGATTGTAATCAAGGATGTGTTACCTGTATGAAACATGCATCATACAAGCCTTATGTGAGTAAAGTCTTTATCTTTAACTCTGTGTCAGAACTAGTTATTTGCATGCACATTTCTTAAAAGGGAAAAAGCGGGTGGCTGTGTATTGGTTGGTCTCAACCAGGCATTTTCTACCTAACTCTGGTCCCCAAGCTTCCTTGCTGTGTGTTTAAGGCTATTGATAAGTCAGCATTGATCTGATGTTGTAATGATCATCAGTGTCATGCATATATATACACACGCACACACTAGCCGTCCCCTGCCACGCGTTGCTGTGGTCCAGTTTGTGTATATGTGTTTTGTGTATATATGTGTGTGTTTATGTGTGTATATATATTTGTATTTGTGTGTTTATATGTGCACATATATTCAGTGCTGCAGAATTCGAGGAGGCACGAGTGGAGGGTGAAAGAGAGAAACGTGCCAGGAGGAAGGCACGTCAAGCCAACCCCAACCGGGACCGCCTTCCACCTGGAAACCAATGCCTTCACTGTGGGAGAAGATGCGGGTCAAGAATAGGGCTCCACAGCCACCTACAAACCCACAAAAATAGTCATCAAGGAAGACCATCTTACTCATCCAACGAGGGATCGCCTCCTCCTCACTATGTATATGTGTGTGCTTGTCTATATGCATATTTGTATGTATATATGTGTGTACGTATGTGCATATTAGGCCTGGGTAACAACGGAAAAATTTGTTTCTAAACTCGTTTCGTTTTTAGGGATCCATTGCGTTTCGTTTTTTAAATGAATTCCGAAATTTTCTTTTAAAAAATTTCGTTATTTACGAAATTTCGTAAATTTCGTAATTGATTCGTTAATGGCGGACGCGATTGCGCAATACGCAAAAAAACCTCCAAATGGGACAGGGGGAACTTCTGAAGCTTCCCTCTCCCTCTGTTGTTGGCTGTTGGTGTGATAATTTATTTTTTTATCACTGATAAAACAAACAACAACTATAAAACTTGCACCAGACATACGGAAATAATAATGAAACGATTACGAATCAATAACGAATCAATAACGAATCAATAACGAATCAATAACGAATCAATTACAAATCAATTACGAAATTGATCAAAAAAATTTGTTTTGTTATTTGGATGCTCCAGAATGGTTCAATATCGCTTCGTTATAAAAAAAATAACGAATTAATAACGAATTACGAAATTAACGAATGAAACCGCCCAGCCCTAGTGCATATGTATGTGTGTGTGCATTGTATATGTATATATGTGTATTACTGTATGTATGTGTGTATGTGTATATTCATGTGTGTTTGTGCATATATATTGTGTGTGTATGAATGTGCCTGTGTATATGTATATGAGTGTATATGTATATGCATATATGATGTATTTTGGGGGTTTTTAAGTCTGTTCCACTGGGGTTTTGTGTGTGTGTGTGTGTGTGTGTGTGTGTGTGTGTGTGTGTTTAGGGGTGATGGACACTCGTTGGACTGTTAGATGTATTGTGTCCAAATTTCGTGTCTATTCGTCCAGTGGTTTTTGAGTTCTGTTAATCCCACAAATGAACATTATTTATATTTATATTTATATTTATTCTATCAAGTTCCCCATTGTCATGAATAGGCTCAATCTAGTTATATTTTTTGGGTGCGGACCGAAAAAAGCTATCCAGCTAACTGCCCATTTTCGGGGGGCACGTGAAAATGTATATGGTGGTCTACCGGAATCTGGCCAGCAGAAACTGATTGAGGTTTAGCCGAAATACACAAATCTAGATGCCAGGTTCCACTTAGAAACAGTGTTTCTTCTGCTGAAGCTGGCTGATAGTTACTTCTCTAGGTGAACCATTCTTGCTCAGCCCGAGGGAGCAGTTATCCCACAGTTGGTCCATTATTGTGCATATAGCTTATGCTAGTAGAGATTCTGTGGTCCTCTGGGTGTGGCTGGAATGCAACACCCATCATCCCTCACTATTGGCAATGTTGGTTAGAGTGGCTGAATCTTGAAGTCCAGCAACATCTACAGCAGAGGACCTCAAACTTTTTAAGTGGGGGGCCAGTTCATGGTTCCTCAGACTTTTGGGGGGGGTGAACTATAGTTTGGAAAAAAATGAACTGATTCCTATAACACTGCACATATCTTATCTGTAATACAAAAAAAATGAAAGACAAAATAATATTTTAAATGCGGAACAATTTTCACCAACATAAACTTACCCATCTTTCAATGGGAAGTGTGGGCCTACTTTTGGATGATTAAATAGTCGTTAAATAGGATTGTTGCTGTCTGCCTTCAAGTAATTTCTGACTTAGGGCAAACCCAGGTCTAAAGTTTAGGGTAGGGACCAGGTAAATGACCTTGGAGGGCCGCATCCGGCCCACGGGCCTTAGATTGAGGACTAGGCCTGGGTAACAACGGAAAAATTTGTTTCTAAAATCGATTTGTATTTGGGGGGTTTTTTTGTTCTGATATTTAAAATAATTACAAAATTTTCCTTTTAAAAAGTTCGATATTTACGAAATTTCGTAAATGGTAAAAAATTAATGAATCGATTTCCGAAACAATAACGAATCGATTCGTTAATGGCGGACGCGACCACGAAATACGCTAAAAAACCTCCAAAACCTTCTGAAGCTTCCCTCTCCCTCTGTTGTTGACTGTTGGTGTGATATTATAATTTTTTTTCACTAATTAAACCATAAAACTGGCCCAGACATGCGGAAATAATAACGAAACGGCCTCAAAACAATAACGAAATGAATACAATATCGAAATATGAAGCATTTACAAAACGTTTTTGAAAATTCGTTTTTTTTAATAATTGCTCCAGAATGGTTCGTTATCGTTTTGTAATTGAAAAAATTAACGAATTATTAACGAATTACGAATTAACGAAACGAAACCGCCCAGCCCTATTGAGGACCCGTGATCTACAGTGTTTCATCTTATTTGTTAAAGTAGACACAGTAACTCAGTAGGACATTTGGAAGTCCAGTTAATGACTGGATTTAGCTCAGTCTCTAAATTGGCCTCTGGAAAGTCAGGGCTTGGCCCATGAGTTGTCACAGTCATAGATAGCTGCCTACACCTACTTGAAGAGGTCTGAGGCAGGTAGTCTGTGTTGGAAAAACCACACCTGTGCTAAGCATGATGCTCCCACAGAGAGTAATAGGCATGGAAACACAGCTAAACGTGCTCCCATTTTTGCTTTGTCTACTCTCAGTCTATGGGAAAAGGCAGGTAGGAAATTATTATTATTATCATCATCATTATCATCATCACTTTTCCAAGACTAATTTCTGCACAATGACCTCAGTTCCTTCATCGCTCTGGTTCCCACTCACCTTCTCCTTCGGTCTTTCTCAGTTGTATAAGTAGCGATAGAAACTAGAGCTCAAATGAGGAATTGCTCCTCCAATAAGGATTCTCCTTTCCCCCATGAAATTTTCCTTCTATCCCCAAATTTCTAGCATTGATTTCTTCTTTTATTGTGTCAGAAGCAACTTGAGAAACTGCAAGTTGCTTCTGGTGTGAGAGAATTGGCTGTTTGCAAGGACATTGCCCTGGGGATGCCCGAATTTGTAACTATCCTGTGGGAGTCTTCTCTCATGTCCCCACATGGGAAGCTGGAGCTGACAGATGGGAGCTCATCCTGTCTTGCAAATTCAAATCACCGTCTTTCAGGTGAGCAGTTCAGCCAGCACAAGGGCTCCATTCCAGCATTGGTGAGAGTAATGCCTTGAGAGTTCGTTGATTTCCTCTCTTCTCGTTCCCTTGGTCCCTTTGCCTGTCTCTTTTCTTTGGAAGCCCAACTGTATTAGGAAATGCTTTCCTGAAATTTTTCATTTCAACAATGCTAAAAATTTGGATGTTTCAGAAAATTTCAGAATATTTATTAGAGGAAGCACCCTCATTTGGCCCTCTCCTTATCTACCGATCTACCTATCTCTCTTCCTGGAGTTCCAGTAATAAAATATTTGGTTGTTGTAGGTTTTTTGGGCTATATGGCCATGTTCTAGAAGCATTCTCTCCTGATGTTTTGCCTGCATCTAGGGCAGGCATCCTCAGAGGTTGTAAGGCCTTTCTCCCATCCTGGACATCACTCCACATGTATATAAATCCCACTTTTCTAGTCTCCAACAGACATCACAACCTCTGAGGATGCCTGCCATAGATGCAGGCGAAACATCAGGAGAGAATACTTCTAGAACATGGCCATATAGCCCAAAATACCTACAACACCCAGTGATTCCAGCCATGGAAGCCTTCAACAATACAATAAAATATTTGTGAGCGTTTCTCCCAATATGGCCTTCAAGGGCTATTCCCAGCATCGGCTTCCATGCTTATCCAACTCCTTTGCTGGACCTTAAAGGTTTGTCGCATGGAAGACATGGAAAATGCAGATGTAACAACTTACCAGCATGCTCTGCTTGGAAGATTTCCATGTCTGGGGCTGAGCCTTAGATGCAGTTTGGTGCCTCACTATTGAAGGGTAAGCTGGGGAAGACAGAAGGCAGCTGAGGTTATTCCCTTCAACAGCCCTGCTTGCATGCAACTCAGTGTATTCCCAAATTAGAGCGAGAGAAAGCGAGAGAGTTCTTATCTATATGTAGGTGTGATTGTTTGCTGTGTTTTCCATCTCCAAGTTAGTAAGGCAAGGAGTCCAAAATGCCAGGTCAGATCGGGGCATTTGGAAATCATACAGCCCCGAGGAAAAACCGGTTAAGAAGATGGGAGAAGGGAGGGCAGAACCAAAAGTGTACACAATCCCGAAGGTACCATTCTTAGTATAGAGGCTCCCATCGGAATGCTTGCTGAAATCGCCGGGTGAACCGTGACCAATTGGGGAGAACTGATATGGCATCTTGGTCCCATTGCCCACTGGAAAATAGAAGAAGCAACATTACATTGGGATGGGGTTGGACACTACTGTGTTTCTCACATCTCCACCCCATTGGGCCTCCTCCCATGTGCCTTCGCACCAATGACGAAGGTTTCAGGCTTGACAATGGCAACCAGGTGGAATTAATGGTGGGCAAATCTGTCCATTTCCTTGACTGAATTTTGGAGACTTTTGGACTCTTTGAATTGGAAAGACATTCTCACTCTTCTCTTGGGATTGGCAAATCTGTATTTTATTTTGAAGATGGAGCCCCCAGTGGCACAGTGGGTTAAACCCCTGTGCCGGCAGGATGAAGACCGACAGGTTGCAGGTTCGAATCCAGGGAGAGGCGGATGAGCTCCCTCTATCAGCTCCAGCTCCTCATGCGGGGACATGAGAGAAGCCTCCCACAAGGATGATAAAAACATCAAAAATCATCCAGGCGTCTCCTGGGCAACGTCCAAAGTTTGCCCATGCCTACCCTTCAGTCTAGATCAATGGTTCTCAACCTGTGGTCCATGAACCACTAGAGGTCTGCAATAACTATTTATTTATTGTGTCATAGTCAGCGGCCTCACCATTACTACACCATTGCAACAAGAGCTACTGGTCTTGTGCAACCCTCTTATGGTGCTGAGGCTTATTAAGTATGGTTTTCTATGAGTGAGCAGATGGCGACTATTGGATGGCATATGTTCTGTATCAGAAACTAGAGTTGATGTGGTCTATCCAATGTAATTTTCTGAATCAGCACTCCAAATAACCAAACTGAATCTAAAGTTGACCAAAACTGATTTGTTACCCTTTTGGTACTAATATTGAAGAGTGGTGCCTGGTCAAGTGGCGCTGGTCGAAAAAAAGCTTGGGAACCACTGGTGTAGATGCTCCTGCAGTCATAAGCCTCATGTTAAACATGCACAAAATCTTTCAAAGCAACAATAAGCAAACTTTCCAATCTCAGTTTTGCCCTAACAATAGCAACAATGTCAATATATACATATATTACAGCCCAATCTTTTATGTGTGTATGCCACTGAGTTCAATAGACTTTTCTACTGTGAAACTATTATATAGGGTTGCAAGTTTCAGCTTGCAACCAGGGAGAGGCGGGTTCAAATCCGGGGAGAGGCGGATGAGCTCCCTCTATCAACTCCAGCTTCTCATGCGAGAAGACTCCCACAAGGATGATAAAAACATCAATTCATCCGGGTGTCCCCTGGGCAACGTCCTTGCAGATGGCCAATTCTCTCACACCAGAAGCGACTTGCAGTTTCTCAAGTCACTCCTGACACGACCAAAAAAAATTTTTTTTGAAGATTTGGGATAACTCCACATCCAAAAGGAAAGGAAAGGAAATTTTCACTCATCTCTAGAAAGGAAAAGATGTGATCCATCTCTATGGCTTCAATTTCACTCTGTTTTTTCCCCTTGTCAGGAGCGACTTGAGAAACTGCAAGTCACTTGCAGAGAATTGGCCATCTGCAAGGATGTTGCCCAGGGGATGCCAGGATGTTTTGATGTTTTACCATCCTTGTGGGAGGTTTCTCTCATGGGTTGTTCTAGGTTTTTTCGGGCTATATGGCCATGGTCTAGAGGCATTCTCTCCTGATGTTTTGCCTACATCTATGGCAAGCATCCTCAGAGGTAGTGAGGTCTGTTGGAACTAGGAAAAAGGGTTTATATCTGTGGAATGACAATGGAGGACCTTCTTGTAGCAACACCAGAAGCACTCCAAGTGGCCAGATATTGGTCAAAGGACATTTAATCAGCTACCACACTCACACATTTTGTATTTTGTCTGTTTGTTTGTTTTGTTCTGTTAGTAATGTAATATGACTGGTTGCCCTGACATGACAAATATATATATACCAGGGTGAGAGCTAGGTGTGAATGTTTCAACTGACCACCTTTATTAGCATATAATGGCCTGACAGTGCCTAGAGCAATCTTTTGTTGAGAGGTGATTATTAGATGTCTTTGTTTGTTTCCTCTCTGTTGTTGTGCCATTGTAAATTTAGAGTTTTTTAATACTGGTAGCCAGATTTTGTTCATTTTCATGGTTTCCTCCTTTCTGTTGAAATTGTCCACATGCTTGTGGATTTCAATGGCTTCTCTGTGTAGTCTGACATGGTGGTTTCTCTCATGTCCCCGCATGGGGAGCTGGAGCTGACAGAGGGAGCTCATCCCCGGATTCGGACCTCTGACCTGTATGTCTTCAGTCCTGCCAGCACAAAAGTTTAACCCATTGTGCCACCTGGGTTCGTAAAAGATGAACTGAAGGTAATAATATTTGTGAAACTAGGGAAATGGATGAGAATCCTATCCTACCAATGCTTGTGTTTTCCCAATGGCATAAAACCAGATGCCAAGTTCTCCTCAAATTTTCCAATATCCTGGAATAAACAAGTCCAGAACCTAATTCTGAAAACAACATTTCTTCTAAAGCTTGCAATGTTTATCAATTTTTTTAAAGCATACTCTAAAAGTACTTTTGATGAACTGGGCAATCATTGTTTTGAAAATATGGTTATCACAAAAGAAAAAGCTTCAGAGCGCCTGCTTCGGCTCCCTTGCAAATATGTGAATGTTTAATCAACCTATCATTAATGAATTAATTTAAATTCATAGAAGGAACCCTATTAAACTTTTATTTAATTAGCTGACAGATTTCATTTCTGTTTTTGCTATAACGGGCTTACATAGCCTTCCTGGTTTTGATAGATTTTTTAAAAAAAATTACATTGCCTAGAGTTCTATGGGAAGTTTGGTTGCATTGAGGTCTATGCCTCTCGCCCTCACACTGATTTATATTTGAAGTTGTGTTCCCGCTTCGTGTTCTGGTTTGCAATGCCCAAGAAGTATACTTTGGAGCAATTTGTCTTTGCCATTTTCAGAAGACCAGGTGACTTTTGTAAAGGGGCAACACACAATACAGAATATTGCACAGCTGCTCTGAACTGCAGATTTCCAAATGCCGAGGAAGGGTTTCACCAGAATTCAGGCATTATTCTGATCATGAACAGAGGGGAGAAGCAGGTTTGTGCTTGTGTATGGTCATGTCAATCTATTAACTCCTACCTACTGTTAGCATAATGTCAAAGAACCTGCGTGTCTGTGGGTAACCTTTCAATAGAACACCAGTCTCCAGCTTCACATGGTTATGTACATAATATAAGCAGACAATATATGAAAGCACCTTTTAGGACTTCATCTCTATTTTCTCTCGGCAGCATGACTACAAGAAGCACTTGCTTTTCTAAACAGAAAGCATTTTTTCTGCAATTCCTGGTGGGATTTGCATAGATTGTATGTACAAGCATGCATGCCCAGTATGGAACACATCTCACCACACTAAAACAGTGGATGTGGCTCTTAATGAGACATGCCGCATTATCACGGGGTGTCTGCGCCCTACACCACTGGAGAAATTACACTGCTTAGCCGGTATCGCACCACCTGACATCTGCTGGGAAGTGGCAGCCAATAGTGAAAGGACCAAGGCAGAGACATCTCCAGCTCATCCCCTGTTTGGGTATCAGCTAGCACGTCAAAGACTTAAATCCAGACATAGTTTTCTAAGATCTACAGAGACACTCGCTGGAACACCTCAGCAAGCGAGAGTCCAAAAGTGGCAGGCTCAAACCCAGAACCTCAACCCATGGCTGATACCAAATGAGAAACTCCCCCCTGGGCACACAGAGGACTGGGAGACTTGGAAGGCGCTGAACAGACTGCGCTCTGGCACCACAAGATGCAGAGTCAACCTTAAGAAATTGGGCTACAAAGTGGAATCCTCGACATGCGAGTGCGGAGAGGAGCAAACCACTGACCACCTGCTGCAATGCAACCTGAGCCCAGCCACATGCACAATGGAGGACGTTCTTGCAGCAACACCAGAAGCACTCCAAGTGGCCAGATACTGGTCAAAGGACATTCAATCAACTACCAAACTCACACATTTTGTATTTTCTCTGTTTGCTTCGTTCTGTTAGAAATGTAATATGACCTCACGGTTGCAATGAGAATGACTGGTCTCGCAAAATCCTCTAATAGTGCCGAGGCTTATTAAATATGGTTTTCTGTAGGTGAGCAGATGGCAACTACTGGATGGCATATGTTGTGTATCAGAAACTAGAGCCAATGTGGTCTATCCAATGCCATTTTCTGAATCAGCACCCTTAATAACCAAACCAAATCTAAAGTTGACCAAAAACCGATTTGTAACCCCTTTGGTGCTAATGTTGGAGAGATGTCCCTGGTCAAAGTAGTCCTTGGTCAAAAAAGGATAAGTAACCACTGCTCCAAACCCTCAACTGATCCACAACAAGTTTGATTTCTCTCACCTGTTCACTCTCATCCGAACATATTTCATCTTATTGATACTTTTCTTAAAATATGGTGCCCAGAAAAGAGCACATTGCCAGGATTGATTGGAGCAACCCTCTATTACTTCCTATAATCAAGACAATATACTTCTATTGACACAACCAAGACAAACATTAGTTCTTTGGCTTTTTTCTGATGCACAACACTTCTAACTCCAATTTTACTCATCATCTAGAAGACATCTAGAATGTTCTTCTATCACCATGTTTTCAGATCTTTCACATACTGATTTCTTATATATCTGCAAATTGACATCTCTTACAAATGGGCCAAAAGCGCCAGTAAATGTTGTCTTAGTGTGGCTCTAAACTTCACACTTTCCAGTGGTTATTCTGACTCCAGTATCCAGTCATGTTCCCAAAATATCACGATTGCATTCACTTGTTTTCTTACTTGAGATGGTTAATAGTCGACACTATTTCCTCCCTCCCTTCTATGAAAAACACACTTCCTTCCATTTCTCTCTCTAGTATCTATGTTCTCTTTCTTACACATTTATTTCTCATCTTATTCCATCTGCTGTTATAGTCATAGCAATATAATAGTAATAGAAAGGTGGGAAGGGAAAAAAAGAAATGTTCAGTCTGGAAATGCTACACAGGAAGGAAGATGAATGGAAAGGTTTCATTGCAAGTCACAGCCTCATTCCAAATGTCACCCACCTGACTTCCCAGAAGTGTAGGAGGAATCAAGACAATAGATACAGAAGTGGGAATTTACATGGGTTACATTGGAAACTCCCAACACACACACACACACACACCTTCTATATTTTAAAAAGTTCCAGAAATTAATGAGAAATAGGATTGAGAAAGGGAGATTGAGACATCAGATAGATAGATAGATAGATAGATAGATAGATAGATAGATAGATAGATAGATAGATAGATTTTGAAGCTCTTCGCAACTTTGGAATAGGAAAGGAAAATAGATTGCTTTATTTCTCTTATTTCCTGCCAATTTCTAGCTTGTGTGATTCACTTCAATAGAAATAGATGGTGGTGGCTTTTAAGAAGTCTCAGTTAGAAGATATTATCTCCTATTTGATGATTATTATTATTATTAGTATAATTATTATTACTGGCTGTACCCACCATGCGTTGCTGTGGCCAGTTTTCCCTCCCTCTTTCTCTCCTCCTTTCTTTTCTTCCTTCCTTCCCTTTTTTTCTTTCATCCTCTCCTTCCCATCCTCTTCCCTTCCTCCTCCCCTTTTCTTTCCCTCCCTCTTTCTCTCCTTCTTTCTTTCTCTCCTTCCATTGTTCCTTCCTTCTTTCCTTCTCTTCTTCCTTCTCTTCCTCTTCCCTTCCTCCCCCCTTTTCTTTCCCTCCCTCTTTCTCTCATTTCTTTCTCTCCTTCCATCTTTCCTTTTTTCTTTCCTTACTTCCTTCTCTTCTTCCCTTCCTCCCCCCTTTTCTTTCCCTTCCTCTTTCTCTCCTTCTTTCTTTCTCTCCTTCCATCTTTCCTTTTTTCTTTCCTTCCTTCCTTCTCTTCTTCCCTTCCTCCCCCTTTTCTTTCCCTTCCTCTTTCTCTCCTTCTTTCTCTCCTTCCTTCCTTTTTTCTTTCCTTCTCTCCTTCCTTCCTTCTCTTCCTCTTCCCTTCCTCCTCCCCTTTTCTTTCCCTCCCTCTTTCTCTCCTTCTTCCTTTCTCTCCTTCCTTCCTTCCTTCCTTCCTTCCTTCCTTCCTTCCTTTCTTCCTTCCTTTTTTCTTTCCTTCTTCCTTCCTTCTCTTCCTTTCCTTCCCCCCTTTTCTTTCCCTTCCTCCTTCTCTACCTATTCTTGGACTGCAACTCCCAGCAGTCCTCCTGATCAATCTATCTACCTAACTATCTATCTCTATATAATCTATCTTATCTATCTGGAGGATTTCTGGGAGTTGCAGTCCAAGAATAGGAAATTGGAAATGTGCAGGGATTGGGATGCTCTCAAAGAAATCCAAGGAGAAGAAAGCTTGCATCTTGGAAGCAGTGCATTTGGAACATCCTTCTCTCCTAAAGGGCCTGGTCTAGGGGATGCTGGGAACTGTAATCTGGAAGAGAGTGTGGATATCCTGTTGTGTGTTTCTTTTGCTAAGGGAGTTGTTTTGTGCATGCGTTGTAGTATCTTTGCTTTTTTGGGCTTTTTAAGTCCTTTCTGCTGTGTTTTTCAGTGTTTTTATGAGTGATGGTCACTTGTTGGCCTGATAGGTGCATTGTGTCCAAATTTGGTGTCAATTTGTCCAGTGGTTTTTGAGTTATGTTAATCCCACAAACAAACATTACATTTTTATTTATATAGATTATAAAGCAGAAGAGAAGGAGGTGCCAAGATGTGGACCCTGAATCTTTTGGGTGCACAACAGATTTATCTCTGACCTCACTGGCAGATGCAAAAAAGATGGCCACCATCCCAAAGGAAGTGGAGAGGAAAAGGTGACCCACCACCAATCCCACTGAAGCTTGGAGAGAAGACATACCTTTCAGGGAGAAAGCAGAATTCCCTGTTGCAAGCGTCTCCTCCGCAGCCGTCTGCATGGTAGAAAACTCCCAGGATCTGGAATTGTAGTTCCCTCCTAGACAAGATAATCCAGTTCAGAAATTAGTTGGCATCACTGAAACTAGTAAATCTGGGGCTCCACCTTGAGTTATCATCAAAGCAATTCTCCCATGAGGAGATCAGAAGCCAGGTGTAAGGGTTCTTAAATAAGGCAAGCCCTGGGAGCAAGTGGATGAAATTGCCCATTCTTACTGCACCATTGGGACTTGTGAGCGAAATGACCTTAATCTCCATCTGAGTGGTGGTTAGTTAGATTCATTTGCCACCCCATGATCTCTCTCAGACCAATTATGTCCCAGGTAATACATCTTAGGCCTGCTGAGACTCAAGCAATGCAAAAAAGAGACCTAAGCAGTGTTTCTCAACCTTCCTAATGCCACGACCCCTTCATATGCTTCCTCATGTTATGGTGACCCGAAACCATAACATTATTTTCCTTGCTACTTCATAACTGTCATTTTGCTACTGTTATGAATCGTCATGTAAGTATCTGATATGCAGAATGTATTTTCATTCACTGGACCAAATTTGGCACAAATACCTAATACATCCAAATTTGAATACTGGTGGGGTTGGGGGATTGATTTTGTCATTTGGGCTGGGATTTGTAGTTCACCTACAATCAAAAAGCATTCTGAAGTCCACCAACGATGGAACCGAACCAACCTTAGCACACAGAACTCCCATGACCAACAGAAAATACTGGAAGGCTTTAGTGGGCATTGACCTTGAGTTTTGGAGTTGTAGTTCACCTAATTCTAGAGAGCACTGTGGACTCAAACAATGGTGGATCCAGACCAAACTTGGCACAGATACTCAAAATGCCCAAATTTGAATACTGGGGGGGTTGATTTTGTCTTTTTGGAGTTGTAGTTGCTGGGATTTATAGTTCACCTACAATCAAAGAGCATTCTGAACCCCATCAGCAATGGAATTGAACCAAACATGGGACACAGAAAATACTGGAAGGGTTTGGTGGGTATTGACCTTGAGTTTGGGAGTTGTAGTTCACCTACATCCAGAGAGCACTGTGGACTCAAACAATGATGGATCTGGACCAAACTTGGACAAATACTCAATATGCTCAAATGTGAACACTGGTGGAGTTTGGGAAATAGACTTTGACATTTGGGAGTTGTATTTGCTGGGATTTATAGTTCATCTACAATCAAAGAGCATTCTGAACCCCACCAATGATAGAATTTGGCCAAACTTCCCACACAGAACCCCCATGACCAAAAGAAAATACTGTGTTTTCTGATGGTCTCTGGTGACCCCTCTGGCACCCCCTCGTGACCTCCTTAGGGGTCCTGACCCCCAGGTTGAGAAACACTGACCTAGATCTAATTTAAAATGCTCTCTGCTAAAGTGCCAAAGAAAGCGGAGTACAAAACCCCAAATCCACAAACAGAATTTTCCCCAAATACATGCATTTATTTAAAAAGTTCATATCCCATGTTTTCTGCCATGTTATTGTTATTTTTTCATGCTTGTGTGCAAAATGTTCCCCAGCGTATGAACTCCGCATGCATTTCTTTAAGACAAATAATGAAGCAAACAAACATGTCTTTTTTCCTTAGTACAGAGGAGAAATGGAAGGAAGATTCAAAAACATTTGGGAAAAATTGCATTTCCAGTGTCTCAAAACCCTGAGGAGAAGAATTCTGCACTGCAAGAATATTCACAGTTTGGGATTGATCCTGTGTAAAATTCACATATGATTTTTTAAAGCAGACAACAGAATTTTCTGCCTAGAGAATATTCTATCCAGAAATATCATTCCAATTTCTCTGCAGAAAAATCTGTGATTAAGGACTAATTATTCTATACAGGTTTTGCACGTGGGTGAATTTCATTTGTACATAGGGAAAGGTAAAGGTTTTCCCCTGACATTAAGTCTAGTCGTATCCAACTCTGGGGGTTAGTGCTCATCTCCATTTCTAAGCTGAAGAGCCGGCGTTGTCCATAGACACCTCCAAGGTCATGTGGCCAACATGACTGCATGGAACGTCATTACCTTCCTGCCAGAGCAGTACCTATTGATCTACTCACATTTGCATGTTTTCAAACTGCTAGGTTGGCAGAAGCTGGGCCTAACAGCGGGAGCTCACACTGCACCCTGGATTCAAACCTGTGGCCTTTTGGTCATATGTATGTACGTGCCTTCAAATTGGCTGTGGGCTTGTCCCAACCCCAGAAATTTCTTAGTGTTTTGCAAGACTAGGAATACTCAAATGTGGTTTGTCTTTTCTGCCCTCTGATATATAGGCTACAGAACATGGTATTCACTGGCGTACTCTCATCCAAGTACTAACCACAGTTGACCATGCTTAGCTTCCAAATTCAGAGTTCTTTTTGGGGTATTTTCTACCCTGCCTCCACTTGTAATGTGGTTTGCCACTTTCCTTACTGATGTCTACCTTACCAAGCATTATAATATTTTCTAAGGAGTCATCCCATCTCATGATACATCCAAAGTCTGATAGCTCTTCCATACCTTTTGGATTCAAGAACATGGAAAACCTCTTCAGGCTATCTGGCTGGTTCCACTCAGAGTAGTTGTTGATCATGAAGCGGTGATCTCCTGGATAAAATAAATACAAGGAAAGAAATATTCTCAGTCATAACATCATATTGCAGAAAAACAGGGGGCAACAATTGCAAGACTTCCAGATTGGACTACTGCAATGCACTCTATGTGGGGCTACCCTTGAAAACGGCCCGGAAATTTCAACTGGTTCAACGAACGGCTGCCAGGTTGTTAACTGGAGCTCCTTACAGGGAGTGGTCAACCCTTCTGTTTAAGGAGCTCCATTGGCTGCCGTTCATTTACGGGTCCCAATTCAAGGTGCAGGTGCTTACCTACAAAGCCCTAAATGGTTTGGGACCCGCCTACCTGTGTGACCGCATCTCTGTACGAACCCACATGATCTCTTCGATCATCTGGAGAGGCCCTGCTCGCACTCCCACCACCATCACAAGCACGATTGGTGAGGACGAGGGAGAGAGCCTTCTCGGTGGTGGCCCCTCGACTCTGGAACTCACTCCCCAAGGACATTAGGCAAGCCCCAACTCTGGCAGTCTTTAGGAGGAGCCTGAAAACACGGTTGTTTCAGTGTGCCTTCCCAGAATAAGGAAACTCCCAGCAATATGTCCCTAGACACACTTTATTAGTGATCTAAGATTGTCTGCACATTTCATCCCTCTCCAAAACTTCTATTCCAGTTATATGTCACCTTATCATGCCCAGAATTATTTTTTAAAAAAAATTAATTATTACATTTGGCCCAGCCATAGGTTTTTTAATGCATCATGTTATTGTTAATGTTTATTGCTTATTTTTTGCTTATGAGTTTATTTATTGTTTTGTATTATTGTTGCTATTGTTTATTGTTGTATTGTGGGCTCGGCCTCATGTAAGCTGCACCAAGTCCCTTTGGGAGATGATAGCAGGGTACAAATATATTATTATTATTATTATTATTATTATTATTATTATTATTATTACAACAAAGAAAAAGCTTAAAGACTACATTGGAGAAGAACAAACTGGAAGCATATTAGGCTCCCAGAACCTGGCCCCCTATACACATGTTGGATTAAAAATCCCATCATCCCCAGCTAGCACTGGTTTGGAGAGCGATTGTAGAGGTGTGTTTCATCTCATCCCAACATAGTGCTTCGTCTCCATTGTGATTCACATGCAAGTAAATAGGTTTGCCAAGGCATCGCCTTTCCAGGCCCTGAGATTTAAGAGTCAAGCAATCAAAGAACATTCTGAACCCCACCAACGATGGAATTGAACCAAACTTGGCACACAGTTCTCCCATGACCAACAGAAAATACTGGAAGGGTTTGGTGGGTAGTGTCCTTTGGTTTTGGAGTTGTAGTTCACCTACATCCAGAGATCACTGTGGACTCAAACAATGATGGGTCTGTACCAAACTCTACACAAATACTCAATATGCCCAAATGTGAACACTGGAGGAGTTTTGGGGAAAATAGAATGTTGACATTTGGGAGTTGTAGTTGCTGGGATTTATAGTTCACCTACACTCAAGGAGCATTCTGAACTCCACTGATAGAATTGGGCCAAACCTCCCACACAGAACCCTCATGAGCACCAGAGTGGACCACAGCAACGCATGGCAGGGAACGGCTAGTCTATATAAATAAAAATGTAATGTTCGTTTGTGGGATTAACAGAACTCAAAAACCACTGGACGAATTGACACCAAATTTGGACACAAGACACCTAACAACTCAATGTATGTCCTTCACTTTAAAAAAAACCAGTTTTGTCATTTGGGAGTTGTAGTTGCTGGGATTTATATTTTACCTACAATCAAAGAGCATTCTGAACCTCACCAATGATGGAATGGAACCAAACTTGGCACATAGTTCTTTCATGACCAACAGAAAATACTGGAAAGGTTTGGTGGGCAGTATCCTTTGGTTTTGGAGTTGCAGTTCACCTACATCCAGAGATCACTGTGGACTCAAACAATGATGGATCTGTACCAAACTCTACACAAATACTCAATATGCCCAAATGTGAACACTGGTGGAGTTTTGGGGAAAACAGAATGTTGACATTTGGGAGTTGTAGTTGCTGGGATTTATAGTTCACTTGCAATCACAGAGCATTCTGAACCTCACCAACGATGGGATTGGGCCAAACCTCCCACACAGAACCCCCATGTGGGCCACAGCAACGCGTGGCAGGGGACAGCTAGTACAAAATAAAATGGATGTGCATTTCCAACTTAGAAGCACAGGGGATCATATCCTGTGTGGCTAAATGAGTCTCTCATACAGAAATCCCACTGGCTGGGAGGAATCGCTGTTTCCTGGAAGCCAGAATTTTAGGACGGAACCTATATTTTACCAGCAGCCAGCAGCAATAACTATCAACCGCAGCAGAGTTCCTCTGTGTCTTTTTTGGTTCCAGCTCCCTTATCTACACTCCTTGCAGCTGCCCATGGAATTGTCCAGCTGTGAAAATGCCACGGCAATATTCTCAAAATAAGACGACAATTACAGAACCAGACAGGAAAATCCAATTCTGGTGAGCAGAAAGTAGAGGGAGTATAATTTAGTCTTGCATTGAAGGAACGTGGTTTTTTACCCCTTATCCTTAGAAACATGACTTTTTGGAGAAAGTGTTTTTTTGCCTCAAACCACTTTAAACATTCAGTTTGCTCCAATTGGGCAATGGCAATTTCAGTTAATCCTCTGTCATCCCACTTTTCCTGCTATTTTTAATATGTCCTAGTTTCGCTCTCCTCTTCCCATTTTCCTTCCCCTCAATCCACCCCAGTTGCTGTAAACTGAGCTGTAAAGTGCAAAAGAGGTGAAATCTTGTCCTAAGGTCTGAAAAGACTGGGGGAGGGAGGAGGAATTACAAGCCAGGATGGGACAATTTAGAGCAGTGCTTCTCAACATGGGGGGCAGGACCCCTGGGGAGTCATGAGGGGGTGCAGAGGGGTCCCCAAAGATCAACAGTATTTTCTGTTGGTCATGGGGGTTCTGTGTGGGAAGTTTGGCCCAATTCTATTGTTGGTGGGGTTCAGAATGCTCTTCGATTGTAGGTAAACTATAAATCCCAGCAACTACAACTCCCAACTATCAAGGTCGATTTTCCCCAAACTCCACCAGTGTTCACATTAGGGCATATTGAGTATTCATGCCAAGTTTGGCCCATTTCCATCACTTTTTGAGTCCACAGTGCTCTCTGCAGGTAGGTAAACTACAATTCCAAAACTCAAGGTCAATGCCCACCAAACCCTTATAGTACTTTCTGTTGGTCATGGGAGTTCTGTGTGCCAAGTTTGGTTCAGTTCCATCACTGGCAGAGTTCAGAATGCTCTTTTATTGTAGGTGAACTATAAATCCCAGCAACTACAACTCCCAAATGACAAAATCAATACCCCCCCCCAACCCCACCAGTATTCAAATTGGAGCATATCAGGTATTGGTGTCAAATTTGATCCAGTGAATGAAAATACATCCTGCATATCACTTATTTTACATTATGATTCGTAGAAGTAGCAAAATTATAGTTATGAAGTAGCAACTAAAATGATGTTATGGTTGAGGTCGCCAAAACACGAGGAACTGTATTAAGGGGCTTCAGCATTAGGAAGGTTGAAAACCACTGATTTAGACCTTCTGCACCCAAAGATGCCTATACACCTAAATTTTATTCTGTATTCCCTCCCAAAAAATGGTAACAAGAAGCATGTCCTGTCACTCCATACCACTATTTTGAGAAGTTCTGTAGAAGAAAACAGATATACGTATTGTCGAAGGCTTTCATGGCCGGAATCACTGGGTTGTTGTAGGTTTTTTCGGGCTATATGGCCATGTTCTAGAGGCATTCTCTCCTGACGTTTCACCTGCATCTATGGCAAGCATCCTCAGAGGTAGTGAGGTCTGTTGGAACTAGGAAAAGGGGTTTATAGATCTGTGGAATGGCAGGGTGGGACAAAGGACTTTTGTCTGCTGGAGCTAGGTGTGAATGTTTCAACTGACCACCTTGATTAGCATTTGATTGCCTGGCAGTGCCTGGAGCAATCTTTTGTTGAGAGGTGATTAGATGTCCTTGTTTGTTTCCTCTCTGTTGTTGTGCTGTTCTAATTTTAGAGTTTTTTAATACTGGTAGCCAGATTTTGTTCATTTTCATTGTTTCCTCCTTTCTGTTGAAATTGTCCACATGCTTGTGGACAATTTGGGCCAAATGTGGTTTTGGGTACTTGCGGAAGTGGGAATGACAACTTCCACAATGGTGGGGACCAGGAGCTGCAGATGATCATCATGCAGTACTTTTCCATAGCCTATATCAAGTTTAACCAAGATGTGCATTACTTTCAGCCCTTGGAAAATGTTGCTTTCTGGACTGCAGCTCCTCAAATCTCCCAGCAGGCAGGCTAGCTGGTAGATTCTAGGATCTGTAGTACCCAAAATTCTGACTTATTCATTTTTTGGACTTTTCAGTTTTAAGCCTTGGGCGCTACAACTGAATCACACCCCTCTCCGCCTCCACCTCCACTTGGTATTTGATCTGCTCCTTCATATCTATTGCGATTGCAGTGGAGTGTTCCAGCACGTCTCCAGTCTTTAGATGTGTTTGAAGCCCGGAGAGATGTTGAGACCCTTTGCCAAGGCATAAACAGAAGCCTGTTTGATACCAATCTCAATGAAAGGATAAGGATCTGGGGTTCCCATGGCAACCTTCATCAAGAGCCACATCAAAGCCTTTGCCCTGCTCCCGAAGTCTAACTCCGGCTCCTCGCCTTCCCTTTGCAAACAGAGAGGTGATGGGCAAGCTATTAGTTATCCATCCCTGCCAACTCCCGTGACCTGGGCTAAACAGATTCTGACTTGGGGAGGAGAGAAGATGAGCTATCAACACCTCTGGCTGGTTCTCAACACTGGCTGGTGCCAATTTTAACGCCTCTTTAATGTGCATTTTCTATTTTTTATGTGGAGAAAGGCTGTCCCCAGTTTGCGAATCGGTAACTGAAACATGTAAAAGAGTATGGTCTTACACTCCCCCTTCTCACTTATTTACTGCTATCCTGGGTCAGTTTCACAGCTTGTGGAATGCTTGGATTTGTAGTTTGGTGACCTCTCAGGCTGGGAATTCTAAATGCTTCCTCCTAAACCGGAAATCTCAGTATTCTATTAGATGTTCCCATAGCAATTAAGGAGATTAATATAATTATATAATGTGAAAAGGCCCCAGGAGTGGGCATCGGGCAGACCTAGGGCCAGATGTAGCTCCACCAAGACATTTTTTGTAGTTCTCAATCATTTCATGCCCTATTTCTGCCCAACACCAAAGACACATACACTCTTCCAGAACCATCTACTAGCAGTTAACTCGTATTTTGAATGTAAGGTTTCTCTCGCTAATTACCATTGTCAACTGCCATCAAATACTTTGACATGGCCACCATAGGAATGAGAGAGCTCCAGGGCACATTGTATTCAGGCCTCCCAAACTCAGGGCTGTGGCATTTTGGACTGAATTCAAGCTTGCCAAACCTTCATTTAGTTCCAGCATGGTGTTGTGGTTTGGGCATTGGGCTGTCTGGAGACCAGGGATCCTATCTCTGCTCAGCCATGGAAACTCACTAGAACAATGGTTCTCAATCTGTGGGTCCCCAGATGTTCTGGCCTTCAACTCCCAGAAATCCTGGTAAACTGGCTGGGATTTCTGGGAGTTGTAGGCCAAAACACGTGGGGACCCACAGGTTGAGAACCACTGCACTAGGAGATCTTGAACAAGTCACGCTCTCCCAGACTCAGAGGAGAGCAATGGCAAACCCATTCTGAAGAAATCCAAGAAAACCTCATTATGGATCCACCTTAAGGTTGACATGTCAGAAATGTATTGAAGGCATTTGACCACAGCTTGGTTCCACCTACCATTCTCCATGTGGTTCCTCTCAATGAAGTTCCTGCTGAGGTCTGCCTTGCAGATCTTCTCAACGTGTCTCATGCATACGTTCAGGAGGTCATCCCTAAGGACCCCCATTGATGGGCTCATGTTCTCGCCTTCAAGCAGGATGCTGTAAGTTGGCAGAGATGGCGGGATTGTGTAGTTCCTCATCATTGCACCAAATTCCTGCCAAATTATGATAATCATGTCAACAACAGCCAAACAGAAGTGTAGTAGAACATCAAAGCAAGGTAAGATCTCAAGCAAGCATGAGGAAGAAGGGCAGATTATTCACATAGTCTAAAAAAAAAGATAACTGGGTGCAGTTTAGAGGACAATAAAGATAAGCATCAATGCATGTGATCATAGTCTTATGAAATATCTAAGGCTCGGAACAGAATGTCCAGAGTTTGTCAGGAATCTTGTATGTCAATAAGTCTAGCTAGATAATCCACCTTCCTCATTGCTAGAAGAATAAAATATGCATTTAGAGCTGCACATACTAATTTCATTTACATAATACTCTGAATCCCTCAGTTAGTTTAAATTAAAATAGACTCATAGAATAAATGGGATTGATCTATGAGTTGATATGACATTCATAATTGGACCTCCTTGAACCATGAGGCTTAAGGACATTGTTTCAGGAACCTGTATTTAATTTTCTAGTTGAATGAAGAAATGGACGTACATATAAAGTAGATATATCCGAACGGGGTACAAACCAGGTGGTGGCACTAAGGAGCTACAAGTTGACTACCCCACCAGTTCTTCACCTTGAAAGCATGCAAATGTTTTACCATCTAAGCCTATTCTCTAGGGTGGGGCAGAGAATAGTTTTGCTTACCTGTAGGAAGAGCACTGAGTCACTGATTTGGCTGATCTGCTCCCTCGTCTCCTTATCTTCTTGCAACAGCTTGTTCCTTTCTTCCAGTTCCTCCACAATCTCCTTGATGTTCTCCACCGCAACCTTCTCCCTGTGGTCCAGGCCAGTCTTCACTTCATCCCGCTGCTTCTCCAAATCACGGATCAGCTCTTTGAAATGCTGGTCTACTGTTGCTTTCTCGTTGGTGGTAAAGTTCTAAAGACAGAGAGAGAATAAGAAAGAGATGCATGTGGACACATCTCACTAGGCCTCTTATGAAGTTCAGATGTTATGGTCATGTTTGTATATGCCTAGCTAGAGGTCAACTTCTAAACCATTCAGGGGTGGAATGGCTTCATAATGGGGGTTTATCACCTCTTCATGTTTTGAAGCTGATCTTTAAATATGGTGACCCCTCCGTGTAGGACCTCCATGAAAGTGGAAGAACTGTGAGTAAAAGCATGCAAAAAAAATCTAGGAGAACAGCTCTCTTTGAATCTCTAGGTCCTCCAACATGATTGTGTGATCATCCCTGGGATCATACTAAATGGAAGAGTATGATCCCTGGAATTCCCTTTCTTTTAATCTAAGGTCCCTTCTACACTGCCATATAATCTAGATTACCAAAGCTGATAGTCCATATTATCGACTTTGAATTGGATTACATGAGTCTACACTGCCATATAATCCAGTTCAAAGCAGATAATCTAGATTTTATATGGCAGTGGAGAATGAGCCTAAGATGGTTCTTTCATTACTGACTTTTCAGATGAAGACCTTGGAGGTCCACATGGTGCCAATTTTGTTGTTACTGTAATACCTTTGCAGAACAATGGGTTGTATGGTTTTACCCATATGCAATTCATTATTTATCATTCTCTCTACTTGGAGTCCCTGTTGGAAGGGGAAAGGTGGCCGAAAACGAAAGCGGTGGATGAATAGAAGAACTGTTGGATGGCATGGTTTTCTCACTGTTCGGCTGAGCTCTGGGTTTGCCTTGTAATATAAGCATTCTGCTAGTATTGTGAACAGCAGCTGAGCAAAGAGAAGCTTGAAAGGATGCTTTCATGCCTCACAATATAACTCCCGGCAGGGAGAGAACAAAGCACTTAGATGTGACATCACCATCAATTTTTGTCTTCCCAGGCTCCTATTCAGCTAACAAAGTTGCTGAGAAGGTTTCCACCTACACATGGATTCTCAGCCACATTCATATCACATTAAAGATGGGCTGGGTTGCCAATTTTCGGGGCCTGGATCCTCCTCTCCAGGGCAAGGGTGAGAGAACTGCTTATGTGTGTGCATTTTCCTCATTGGTTCAGCTTGAGTTGGCCTTCTGTTGACTAGTCCCACTAGGCCCACTCAATTGATTGTCGAGTAGTGCATGAGAATTGCACTTCCGGCTCAGTTTTATAGGAATGGAAGCAAGCAATGGTAGAAAGTGGGAGAGAGGCAAAAAACAGGACATTTTAAAGTCAGGTTGAAAAATGGGATGGAAGAGGTTTAATTGGAGATTCCATCTGAACATGAGAAAGAATTTCCTGACTGTGAGAGCTGTTCAGCAGTGGAACTCTCTTCCCCAGGAATGTGGTGGAGGCTCCTTCTTTGGAAGCTTTTAAACAGAGGCTGGATGGCCATCTGTCAGGGGTGATTTGAATGCAATATTCCTGCTTCTTGGCAGAATGGGGTTGGACTGGATGGCCCATGAGGTCTCTTCCAACTCTTTGATTCTATGATTATATGGTTCTAATTGGACTCCCCTGCTAAACTGGAACAATTGGGAGATATGGATGGCGGCCATTGAGAGATCCATCCATAAGATTCACCGTAGGCTACTTGTATTTCCTCTCATGGTTTTGGAAAGGATAAAGCAAACATAAGTTAGAAAACTATGGAACGCTGCTCTCTTTGGAAATACTGCAGGATAAATATATCACAAGGAACAAGCAATGAAGGATTTTTACATGAATTCAGATAATAGAAAACTTTACATTCTCAGGGGTTCTCTTCACAACTTGGCACGTGTGAGAGGGCTTTGCATATTTTGCGGTCCGTAATTTTCGCAACACCCTCAGATATGCCAGGATGAATGCCGGCAGGCGAGATAAGCAGAAATCTTGGGCAAAGGTGCCAGCACACAACAAAACTTTAATGCGCTGAGCTTAAGTTCCCCAGAGTGTGAGAACATGCTGTGTGTTCTAGGCTTGATGCCAAGTCCATTGCACAGGAGACATTTTCCCAGTCCATGAGGTTGGTCAAGCTCTCAAGAGGTCCTCCAAAGGAAAAATGCGGAAAGAGAGAGTGGAGAAGAAACTCACAAAGAAGGAAAATATTAGATGAAAAGAAAGTTTGAGAGTGAAAAGAACAAGGTGAACAACAAGGGCACATCTACACTATAGAACAGGCATGGGCAAACTTTGGCCCTCCTGGTGTTTTGGACTTCAACTCCCACAATTCCTAAACAAGTCCAAAACACCAGGAGGGCCAAAGTTTGTCCATGCCTGTTCTATAGTGTAGATGTGCCCTTGAAGGCTATTAGGAATTGTGGGAGTTGAAGTCCAAAACACCAGGAGGGCCAAAGTTTGCCCATGCCTGTTCTATGGTGTAGATGTGCCCTTGAAGGCTATTAGGAATTTTGGGAGTTGAAGTCCAAAACACCAGGAGGGCCATGCCTGCTATAGAATTAATGAAGTTTGACACAACTTTAACTGCCATGGCTCTATGCTATGGAATCTTGGGAGTTGTAGTTTTGCAAGGTCTTTTGCCTTCTCTGCCAAAGAGTGCTGGTGCCTCACCAAACTACACATCCCCAAACCTCCATAAGAGTTAAAGTAGGGTTTAATTTTACAGTTTAGATGCATTTGGAGAAGAAGAGGAGGAAGCAAGTCCATCAGCAATGGTGGTGAAGGACAGGAGGAGTAATCGCTGGTGGTCTTTATGGTATTGAAGCAATTCTGGGTTTTAGTTTGAACATTAAGGTGCTCAGCCTATTTGGGACTGGGGTAGAGATCAGTCCCTTTAATGTTCAGACTAAATCCCCAAACAGATTCATACACATGACATTCAGAACAACAGTTGCCACTGGGTAAGAATGTAGAGACTTGTGGATGGAAGGAAGGCAGGAGGATGGAAGGGAAGGAAGGAATAGGGTCATGCTTACCTTGATACGGTCCCGCTCTTTGTGCCATTTATCCACCTCATCCTCAAGTTCAATGATCTTAAGTTGTAGCTGCTCCTTTTGCAGAGAGAGTTCAGTCTGGGGGAGAAAAAGAAGAAGACCAATGAAACTGTGTTGCACAAAGCCAGCTTCCAGGTCTGTAGATACATCATGCTGTGTACACCGGTGGTTCCCAAACTGTGGCCCATGGACCACCAGTGGTCCGAAAGAACTAAAACATGGTCCACGGCCTCACTGTTTAAACAAGAGCAACTGGCCTCACAAAGTGCCTAGGCTTATTAAATATAGTTTTCTGTGGGCAAGCAGATGGTGACTACTGGATGGCATATGTTCTGTATCAGAAGCTACAGCTGATGTGGTCTATCTGAATCAGCATCCCAAATAGCCAAACCGAATCTAAAGTTGACCAAAAACCAATTCGCAACGCTTTTGGTACTAATGTTGGAGAGTGGTCCCTGGTCAAAGTGGTCCCTGATCTTAAAAAAAATTGGGAACCACTGGTGTACACATTTGGCCATGGATCTCAGTATCCATAAGACATAGTTTCCTAGCAAGATGTTTCATATTCCTTATCCAAAATGCTAGGACCACACATCCTAGCTGTTCAGTATACTTGTTGACTTTGTCCCCAGATTATGAATCCCTTGTGTGTAATAAGATATCTTGAAGATGGGACTCAAGTCTCAACAAGGTATCTATTGACCTTATTTATTTATTTATGATATTTGTATCCTATCCTATCTCGACCTCTGCAGAGGGACTCAGGGCGGCTAAAAAACGGCACACCATGGTGCCCACAACCAAAAGCATAAACATACAATTTAAATAGAAACAATATAAAAACAGTATAAAACATTCAATCAAACAGTCATTGGTTTAAGTCATCATCCTAAAAGCAGTCTGTCAACTCCATTAAAACCATCGCTTTGCCAGCAGGTCAGCCTAGTCTGCAAAGGCCTAGACCTTACCCATAGCTTGAATAAAAATGTATGTATCCATAATAATGCTTTGCATGAAACAAAGTTTGTATACCTTGGAACATCAGAAAGCAAAAGAGTCAGTACCTCAGTCAGCTATCTGGACAGGGGTGGCTCAACCCATTACGCAAAGTAAGCATTTGCAGTATAGTTGATTTTGCCCAGGGCGCTCTTGAGGCGTTCTTGGGGGAAAATAGACCTTGACATATGTGAGTTGTAGTTAATGAGATGTGTAGTTCACCTACAATTAAAGAGCATTCTGAACTCCACCAATGATGGAATTGAACCAAATATGGCACACAGAACTCCCACGACAAACAGAAAATATATATCAGTGATTGGTGGGGGGGGGGGGGGGTACTGTTTGCTTACCGTTGAAAATTACCTAGGGTCGCCTCTGTATCTGGATGATTTTGGAGTATTTCAAAATTTAGAATTCCACCCTCATTAGCTCTTGTGACTTTTGGACCAGTCCATACATAGACATCTTTCCAGTTGGGGAAAATAATCCAACATTCAAATGCAAATACACACCAAAGACCTTATAAATGCTAACTCCCAGAATTATAGCTGGAGTATTCTGGGTGTTTTAGGTACCTTTTCCAGTACACACTCTCTCCAACACACACGTACTTTTAAAGGTCCTGAAAAGTCCAATCCATTTCCATAAATGGCTCCAACAAACAGTAGGGTTGAGGGTTGAGGAGGAGAATGTGAACTTGTTCCTCTTCCTCCAGAATGGAGCCATTTGCCAGCTGAGGCATGGCTTGGGGTGAGGAGAGGAGAGGAGGCAGGGAGGTGGATTTCAAAACCCAGCTGCATTTGAAGCAAAGGGCCCTGCCCAAGGTGTGCCTTTTGCAACAATAACAGTTTTTCAGGTAATTACGGGATGACGTCCTTCAGTCTTGCAACAGACTAGGCAACGCCCTTGGCAGAAATTTTGTTTAGACATGACCAGGGATTCATTCATTCTGGGTTTAGCCCTTCCATGGCATGATAAGGGCAGGCTAAAGGTGGGAGAGAGTTGCTTGCACAAAGGCTGAGGCCCTTGATAGGTACATGGTGGATGGTCCATGTCTTAACTCTGAAGAGCAGCAGTGGTCTAGCTGTCCCTGGAGATGCTTGGTATTTGCGAAATGGCTCCAACCAAAACATCAACGTCATGCCATTAAACATTTCACAGGTGAAACACCAGGGCAAATGTGGGCAAGTAGCATCCGAATGCGGCCAAGATGGCAAGAAGTTATGAATGAGGAACAACACACAAACCAGTTTGAGGCTGCAGCGGTTTGCTTTTGTCTTCTTGGAGAGTCAAGATTATTTTCCTTCCTCTCCCCGTTGCTGAGTTAACTGAATGCAAACTAACTTTGCACTTTGAATATGCATACTGCATCTCAATGTGGCGGTTGCATTTACTTTCCATACCTAATTTATGATCTATTAGGTGAATTAATGGTATATACAAATTGACACTCCATTCCCACAGTAATATCTGTAGCTGGGTCATTAGAGATGCAGAAATCGCCCAACAAGTATTTAAAACACACCCCAAGCCAGAGTGCATCTCACACTCTGGAATTAATGCAGTTTTACAATGCTTTAAGTGCCACGGCTCAATGCTGTAGATCCTGGGAGTTGTAGTTTGGTGAGTCACCAGCACTCAATAGCAGAGAAAGCTAAAGATCTTGTAAAACTACAGCTCCCTTTCATTCCATAGTATTGAGCCATGTCACTTAAAATGCACCCACAAGGAGACAAATAAACTATCCGATGGCTCCTGCTAAGGTAGACGTGGGAAGTGCATAACCTTCCAAGTCAGGGGTCGAGATCCCTGGAGGGGGTCACAAGGGGGTATTAGAGGGGTTGCCAAAGACCATCAGAAAACACAGTATTTTCTGTTGGTCATGGGGGTTCTGTGTGGGAAATTTGGCCCAATTCTATCATTGGTGGGGTTCAGAATGCTCTTTGATTGTAGGTGAACTATAAATCCCAGCAATTACAACTCCCAAATGTCAAGGTCTATTTCCCCCATACTCCACCAGTCTTCACATTTGGGCATATTGAGTATCCATGCCAAGTTTGGTCCAAATCCATCATGGTTTGAGTCCACAGTGCTCTCTGGATGTAGGTGAACTACAATTCCCTGGGGGTCGAGACCCCTAGAGGGGGTCACAAGGGGGTATTAGAGGGGTCACCAAAGACCATCAGAAAACACAGTATTTTCTGTTGGTCATAGGTGTTCTGTGGGGGAAGTTTGGCCCAATTCTATCAGTGGTGGGGTTCATAATGCACTTTTATTGTAGGTGAACTATACATCCCAGCCACTACAACTCCCAAATGGCAAGGTCTTTTTTTCCCCATACTCCACCAGTGTTCACATTTGGGCATGTTGAGTATCCATGCCAAGTTTGGTCCAAATCCATCATGGTTTGAGTCCTCGGTGCTCTCTGGATATAGGTGAACTACAATTCCCAAATTCAACGTCTGTGCCCACCAATCCCTTCCAGTATTTTCTGTTAATCATGGGAGTCTGTGTACCAAATTTGATTCAATTCCATCACTGGTGGAGTTCAGAATGCTCTTTGATTGGAGGTGAACTACAAATCTCAACAACCAAAACTCCCAAATGACAAAATAAATCCTTTCCTCAACCCCACCAGTATTCAAATGCGGGTGTATCAAGTATTTGTGCCCGATTTGGTCCAGTGAATGAAAATATATCCTGCATATCGGATATTTACATTACGATTCATTACAGTAACAAAATTACATTTATGAAGCAGCAACAAAAATAATGTTATGGTTGGGGGTCCCCACAACCCGAGGAACTGTATTAAGGGGTCGCAGCATCAGGAAAGTTGAGAAACACTCCTCCAAGTGCTGATGGGTTGCAACACCTAGCATCCCTGACCATTGTTTAGGCTGGCTGGGGATGATATGAGTCAGAGTTCCACCCCATCTGGAGTATAATTTCAAATTGCTAATCCATGAAAAAGAAGGAAATTGAAAAATCTGGTACATTGGGGAAGTTTTTCAACTGCAGTGCAAAACCTGTGAAACAAGCACTTTTGTGCAAGCAGCTTCTAGTCTCTGGGAAGCACATCGTTAATTGACCTGAAAGATGCATGCCAATGCTTTTGCTTTTTAAAAGTCTATGCAACAAGGCATTAGGACAGTAGCTTGCATAAAAATGGGTTGTACAATTAGCACACACAAAAGCTTCACAAGTGTCAAAACTCCTCTTTGATGAATGCAGGAAATCTTTCACTTTGTCACCCAGCAGAGAGATAATGGTAGGAATATTCTTACTGGAGTATGAGCACAAGATAAGGAATTGCAACCATAATTGCTGCTTCGTATCAGTCTCTCGGGGGCTCTTTTGAAAGGGCAAATTGCATAGGATGGATAAAGAAGAGAAGAGTGTGAAGGAACCCCAATATATGTTGGTGGATGCTTTGTTTGCATTGGATCAGATGATTTTTGTGCATTGCGAGTATTTTCAACATTTCTTTAGGCTGGGAAAAAAATAAGATATCTATCTTTTCAGTTTTTACCCCAGTGTACACCAATTCTTCTTAATTCAGTTTAGTTTTCAAAAAGTTCTTGGTATGAATATTTGAGAGCATGAGTAATAGCCAAAACTTGGCTAGGAATATCCAAGTGTCTTCTTTCAGTTTGGCCTTCAGTTAGTATTTGGCGAACCAATCACTTTAGACTTCATTTTTCCCAAGTCCAGTATTCCAAATTCATCCTCCATATCCATGAGAATGGTGCCAGTAGCTTTATTTATCAACAAAATATGCCTCTCTCTGCATCATCAATGTCCTCCAGTATGGTCTTCTTGGACCAGAAGTCCTTTATTTCAGTAAGGTTCTCTATTATCCACAATTTTACATGCAAAATTTGGGAATGTATCCAAGGGTTTCAATCCTCATTCAGACTCAATGGTGACCTTAGAAAAATCAGAATCTTTCAACCTCAGAGATAAGCAATGGCAAACGTCCTCCAAGTATATCTTGCCCCAAGAACTCCTTAGGATAGGACATACGACAAAGCCAACTAGGAACGACATAGCAGCAACAATCTGGTCTGGAAACTATG